CTCACAATTTTTTTCTATTTTGCTTCCTCCCATACTCTAAATTCATTATCCTAATTAAATTTTTAGTCATTCTCTGCTGAATGCATATTCGGACCAATCATCTGACTTTTCACTCATCAATGATATACTTTATGTTTAGTGTTTTCCTTGCCTTCTGTACTTAGCCATGGATAGTGGTTCTTCCACTTTTTCTTTACAGTAAAAATTCACTTATTCTGAGCATCCTGAAATATCCCCTTAACAGTCTGCCACTGTTTCTCTGTTGATCAGTCCCCCTGCCTAGCTATCACAGTTCACTTCAACTAACTCAGCTTTCATGCCCGCATAGTTGCCCTTATTAAGTTTAAAGTATTAGTCTTAGACCCATCTGCTCCCTTTCAAACTTCAAACCAATGTATCTGCTAACTGTGAATGCCTGTATTCTGATATCATTGGTTAGTCTTGCCACACTGCACAATACCAAGTCGAGTATAACCTGCTTTCAGGTTCATTCTAGAACATGTCCTTCAAGAAACTACTTCAAAAGTATTGTATGCATTCCTGAACCATTGCCAGTCTGATTTTTTCCAAGTTATGCGTAGATTAAACTCACCCACGATTATGGTTGTCTCTCTATCACAAGCACCCAATATTTAATTTTATGTAAAAAATAAAAACTGAAAGAACTATGGATCAGAAACTGTAAATCGGGAACAAAAACAGAAGTTGCTGAAAGTGCTCAGCAGGTCTGAAGAAAAAAACCAGACTTAATGTTTTGAGTCCAGTGATGCTTCCTCTGAACCAATCATCTGACTTCTATTTCCCCAGGATGGGGGAGTCCAAAACTAGAGGGCGTAGGTTTAAGGTGGGAGGTTCAATTTTAAATACTTTGTCAAAGATTGGGTGGTTAGGGGGAGTTCTAAACCACCCCTAGTATTGATTCCTTTTTCCCCTGTTGTTCCTCATCTGCACACAAACTGATTCTAACTCCTGGTGTCCTGAATTAGGATAATCTCTGAATGAATGCACCATTAATTAAATGCCATCATTAATTAACAGTGCTACTCCATCTGTCCCCACCTTGACCTAATTCATATTCTTCTTGAATGTGAGATACCTCTCAATACTCGGGACCGCATTCTTGTCCTCATTCAGCCCAGTCTCCGTAATGGCTATCAGATCATATTTATTCACTACAATGTGCACTATCAATCTCTTTATTTTATGGTGAATGCTATGTACATTCAGATACAGGGCCTTTATTTTTATCTTGTTGTTGGCTTTACAATATCTTTTCAAACAGTACAAGTTTTGAAGCATTTTCATCTGGTCTTGACTTTCGCTATGCTCTTAGATTTGTTCGTTCTGTCCCTTTCTGTTATTCTCTGACCTGCATTTCTCAAGTTACTATTCTGCATTCCTGCCTTGACTCTACTGTTCGATTTGCCACATATACCCAAGCTTGTTCCCCACTCCGACCACATTAGAGTCATAGAGTCATAGAGACACACAGCACGGAAACAGATCCTTCGGTCCAACTGGTCCATGCCAACCAGATATCCTGGATAAATCTAGTCTCATTTGCCAGCATTTGGCCCATATCCCTCTAAATCTTTCCTATACATATACTCATCCAGATGCCTTTTAAATGTTGTAATTGTACCAGCCTCCACCACTTCCTCTGGCAGCTCATTCCACACATGCATCACCCTCTTTGTGAAAAACTTGCCCTTTAGGTCCCTTTTAATCTTTTTCCTCTCACCTTAAACCTATGCCCTCTAGTTTTCGACTCCCCACCCCAGGGAAAAGACCTTGCCTATTTACCCTATCCATGCCCCTCCTGATCTTATAAACCTCTATAAGGTCATCCCCCCAGCCTCCAATGCTCCAGGGAAAATAGCCTCAGTCTATTCAGCCTCTCCCTATAGCTCAAACTCTCCAACCTTGACAACATCCTCGTAAATATTTTCTGAACCTTTTCTAGTTTCACAACATCCTTCCTATAGGAGGGCAACCAGAATTGCATGCAATATTCCAAAAGTGACCAAACTTATGTCCTGTACAGCCGCAACATGACCTCGCAATTCCTATACTCAAAGCACTGACCAATGAAAGCAAGCATACCAAACGCCTTCTTCACTACCCTGTCTACCTGCGACTCCACTTTCAAGGAACTATGAACCTGCACTCCAAGATCTCTTTGTTCAGCATCACTCCCCAGGACCTTACCATTAAGTGTATCAGTCTTGCCCTGATTTGCCTTTCCAAAATGCAGCACCTCACATTTATCTAAATTAAACTCCATCTGCCACTCCTTGGCCTATTGGTCCATCTGATCAAGATCCTGTTGTACTCTGAGGTAACCTTTTTCGCTGTCCATACACCTCCAATTTTAGTGTCACCTGCAAACTTACTAACCATACCTCCTACATTCACATCCAAATCATTTATATAACTGACATAAAGAAGTGGGCCCAGCACCGATCCTTGTGGAACACTGCTGGTCACAGGCTTCCAGCTTGAAAAGCAACCCTCCAACACCACCCTCTGTCTTCTACCTTTGAGCCAGTTATGTATCCAAATAGCTAGTTCTCCCTGAATTCTATGTGATCGAACCTTGCTCACCAGTGTACCATGAGGAACCTTGTCGAATGCCTTACTCTAGTCCATATAAATCACATCCCCCACACTGCCCTTATCAATCCTCTGTTACTTCTTCAAAAAACTCAATCAAGTCAGTGAAACATGATTTCCCATGCCCAAAGCCATGTTGACTATCCGTAATCAGTCCTTGCCTTTCCAAATACATGTAAATCCTGTCCCTCAGGATTCCCTCCAACAACTTGCCCACCACCGATGTCAGGCTCACCAGTCTGTAGTACCCTGGCTTTTCCTTACCACATTTCTCAAATAGGCACAACGTTATATTGTTTACTTGGTACATTGTAAACATTTTTACACTGTAAACATTGTTTACTTTAAAGCCCTCTCTACTTCCCTTGCTATGTGGTTTAATAGGGCACTGATCCCTGCATGAGCAAGGGACAAACCATTCCATTGGTACAGCTTCCGCTTGTGCCAGTACTGGTGCCAGTGACCCACGAACTGGAACACATTTCTCCCTCACAAATCTTTGAACTAAGTTCATTGTATTAATTTTATCTGCCCCCTTCCACTTGGCATGTGGCTCAGGTAATAACCCCAGAGGTTATTACCCTTGAGGTTCTTCTCTTCAGTCTGGTGTCTAGTTCCTTGCACTATCTAAGGAAAACCTCTTCCCTTGTCCTGCCTATGGCATTGGTACTGCATCCACCATGCCAACTAGATTCACCCAGCTGTGAGCAGATATCTGAACCCTGGCATCAGGTGGGTGACATAGCCTTCAGGTTGTATGTTCTTGGCTGCACAGGACAGTGTTATTGTACCTCTCTACTACCATGACATTTCTGTTTGCTCCCCACAATTGAATGCCTGTACCCACAGTACAATGGCTAGTTAGCTTATCCACCCTGCAGCCCTCTCTCTCATCCAAACAAGCAGAAGGAATCTCAAACCTTTTGAGTAATCATGGCTCCTCTCCTCTACCCCCTGGGTGCCCTCACTTGCCTCACTCGCAGTTACATCCTCCTTTCACTGACCATGTCAGATGATGCTGTTCTAAGATTGTGTGACTGCCTCCTGGTACAAACCTCCAGGCAATTTGCTCCACCCTGAGTGTTTAAGGTTCAGCCTCAAGCTCAGAAGCTAACTCTGAGGCAAAGCTGTTGGAGCTGTAAACATCTACTACCGACCTATGTTCTGTCAGGTTTTTGCTGCCGCTGGGCAGATCTCTGAGGCGGGCGAGCAGCAGTGACATCCCAAAGTGGAAGTCAATAGCCATATGACCATAAGACATAGGAACAGAAATTAGGCCATTCAGCCCATCGAGTCTGCTCTGCCATTCAATCATGGCTGATAAGTTCCTCAACCCCATTCTCCCGCTTTCTCCCTGTAACCCTTGATCCCATTGATAATCAAGAATCTATCTATCTCAGCCTTATATGTACTCAATGACCTGGCCTCCAGAGCCTTCTGTGGCAGTGAATTCAATAGATTCACCACTCTCTGGCTGAAGATGTTTCTCCTTATCTCTGTTCTAAAAGGTCTTCCCTTTACTCTAAGGCTGTGCCCTCGGGTCCTAGTCTCTCCTACCAATGGAAGCATCTTCCCAAGATGCACTCTGTCCAGGCCATTCAGCTATCTGCTCAATAGCCAGTAGGTGTGTGCCGACCTTTCAGGCAGCTGCTAACCCATTTGCCTTGGATCACTGCGGCATCCAAGAGCTCCCATATGCTGAAACTGTGACGCTTAACCTGATCTGCCATCTTTTATGTGCTTTTTAAAATTACTTACTGATATAATTTATTCAGTTATTTGTCCCCATTCTTTATGTATGTTCTCATCACAACCACCAGTTCTTGTACTACTTTAAACCTTACAAATAGAATAGACCTAAACCACTTAGCAGTTACTCACCAAACAGCTACCTGTAGAAGGGTAGGCACCAATTCCAAACCCACCACTGTGCCCCCCGCCAGGTTCGCTTTTTGCTCGCTCTCCTAAATGATGCTGACTGCCCCCAGGCCTTCCTTCTGCTCAATCTTCTAGCATAGTACGAGAGGTCATGATAAGAGAGGACTTGTTTCCGTAGCCTTACACATAAGGTTCCAGTTCCATGCAATCTGATGTCCCTATGACATAGCTCCTTTCATACATGTTCAGTAGCTATCCTTGGAGTAAAGGTACAATTTCCTTTACACTAGAGGCAACACTGATGCATTCCCAAGGGAACTCAACCTCGTTGTCTTCAGCTTTGTGCGAGCTCTTTCCATCCTCTTGTATTAATATCTTCATACAGCCTTTTATAAATTTAACTCTGTAATATGAGGCATCATCCTGAGATTGCAGCTTATTTCTTTACATGTTTTTAACCCATGAGAGCAATGAACTGACATTGTTATTGATTCCCTTTTCCCAACAAGTCTTCTTAACTCAAGATCTGAACATTGTGTTCTGTGCAGAAGGCAATATTCTTGCTGATGGCCGAGAGAATGAAGAGTGTCTCTGTGGAAATGACTCCACATCCGACAGACAAACTGAAGGTGAGGTTGAAATTGCACGGAAAGTGACTGTGGTGTTGTATATAACCTTCAAGTGTGTGCTTTCCCCATTTGGAAGGATTACAGCGACATTTGTAACATCACACAAAAGGATAGGACTGCAAATTGCTCGTAATCCAGAAGTCTGGAAAAATTATTCAGAGTCATGAGTTCAAGTCCCACCACTGCAGTTGAGGCAATTAAATTCAAGGATGGAATTAAAAAGCTGGTCTTGAGCATGAAGCTATCAGATTGCCATTAAAAACCTGATGTTGTAATCTCCTTTAGCGAAAAGGTTATAGCTTGGCCTAAATACAGATGAACATTAGAATTTGGAGAAGAAGTAGGCCATTCAGCCCCTTGAGCCTTCTCTACCTAGCACTAAGATCACAGCTGATCTGCTTGTTCACATTTCCATTTACTCTGGATAACTTTTGATGCCCTTGCCACGAAAAGAAATCTGTCTACCTCCACTGTAAAAAATACTCAATAACCTTGATTGCATTGAAACTACAGCGGAGAGTTCCAAAATCTCAGAGACTCATAGGTATAAGTTTCCAGCAAAGAAGGAGACTATTTTATCCCATCATGTCCATGCTGGCTAGCAAAGATCTGACTATACTAATCCTATTTTCCAGTTCTTGGCTCATAGCCCTGGAGACTAATAGCGATGCAAGTGAATATCTAAACACTGCTTAATTGTTAGGAGAAGTTTTGACTCAAATGCCCTTTAAGGCAATTAGTTCCAGTCTCTTGCCACCCTCTGAGTGAAAAAGAAAACTCCTCACCTTTCCTTTTATCCTTCAACCTCTTACCTTAAATCTATGTCACCTGGTTATTGACCCTCTACTAGTGAAAAAAACATGCCTTCATATCCACCCTCCCTATACCCCTCATAGTTGTGTACACTTCTGTTGGGTCAGCCTCTCAACCTTCCATGTTCCAAGGAAATCTACCCAGCCTATCCAATCTTTCCTCACAACTCAGAGCCTCTAGCCTAGGCAGTATCCCAGTGTAGGATCAAGCAAAAATCCCCATCATCTAAAATACTGGACCAGACCCTGGACTTTTCCAATATCTATAATACCGAGCCAAACCCTGGAGTGAGGCTGCAGCAAATGCGCAACACAACCAGCAGAATGGCGATTTCTGTGTGGGACAGTAGTTCAGCATGAGATTTCAATTTACATCTCCTGTCTAAAAGGACAATCAATCTTCTGTGCACCCTCTCCAGTGTAATCACATCCTTCCTATAATGTGGTAACCTGAACTGCATACAACACCCCAGTTATGGCCTAACCAGTGGTTAATACAGTTTCAACAGAACCTCTCCTTGCTCTTACATAGAGTCACAGAAGGTAGGAGCAGGTGTAGGCCATTCAACCCCCCTCAAGCCTGCACCACCTTTCAACATGATCATGGCTGATCATTGAATTCAATATCATAATCCCGGCCTCCTTCATGTTCCTTGACCCCTTTAGCCACAAGTGCTATATCTGCCACTTTGCGGAAAATACATAATGGTTTGGCCTAAACCACTTTCTATGGTAGTGAATTCCACAGGCTAACCACTCTCTGGGTGAAGAAATTTCTCCTCATCTCAGCCCTAAAAGGTTATCCCCTTATCCTTAAACTATGACCCCTGGTTCTGGACTCCCTCATCATCAGAACATCCTTCCTGCCTCTAACCAGTTTAGTCCTGCTAGAATTTTAGATGTTTCTGTAAGGTTCCCCCTCGTTCTTCTTAGCTCTAGTAAATACAATCTTAACTGACTCAATCTCTTTTCCTACCATCCCAGGAATCAGTCTGGTAAACCTTAGCTATATACCCTCTATAGTATTAGCATTCTTCCTCAGATAAGGAGACCAAAACTGCACACAATATTCCAGGTGTGGCCTCACTAATGCCCTCTATAATTGCAGCAAGACATCCTTGTTCCTGTACTCGAATCCTCTCACTGAACATACAGTTTGCCTTCTTTACTGCCTGTGCAGCTGTGTGCTTACTTTCAGTGGCTGGTGCACAAGGACACCCAGGTCTCATTGAACATTCCCCTCACTCAACTTACAGCCATTCAAATAATAATCTGCCTTCCTATTTTTGCTACCAAGATGGAGTACCTCACATTTATCCACATTATAATGCATTTGCCCACTCACTCAACCTGTCTAAATCACACTGCAACATCTCTGTATCCTCCTCACAGCCCTCCCTTCCACTCAGCTTTGTTTCCTCTTCAGACTTTGAGATATTACATTTAGTTCCCTCATCTAAATCATTAGCATACATTAACAATACATCTAAATCATCAGCGTATATTGTGAATAGCTGGGGTCCCATTACCGATCCCTGCGGCAGTCCACTACTCACTTCCTGCCGGTCAGGAAATGAGTCTCCCGCATTTCCCGCAACTCATCCCTCACACCCCTCCCCGCAATAGCAACCAAAACAGAATCCCCCTCGTCCTCACGTATCACCCCACCAACCTCCGGATCCAACGCATCATCCTCCGACACTTCCGCCATCTGCAATCTGACCCCACCATCAAAGACATCTTTCCCTCCCCACCCTTATCTGCTTTCCGGAGGGACCACTCTCTCCGTGACTCCCTTGTCCGCTCCACACTCCTCTCCAGCCCCACTGCACCCGGCACTTTTCCCTGCAACTGCAGGAAGTGTTACACCTGCCCCTACACCACCCCCCTCAACAACATTCCAGGCCCCAAGAAGCCTTTCCACATCAAGCAGATATTCTTGCTAATGTGGTATACTGTATCCGCTGTTCCCGTTGTGGCCTCCTCTACATCGGGGAAACCAAGCAGAGGCTTGGGGACCGCTTTGCAGAACACCTACGCTCGGTTCGCACTAAACAACTGCACCTCCCAGTCGCGAACCATTTTAATGCCCCCTCCCATTCCTCAGACAACATGTCCATCCTGGGCCTCCTGCAGTGCCACAACGATGCCACCCGAAGGTTGCAGGAACAGCAACTCATATTCCGCTTGGGAACCCTGCAGCCCAATGGTATCAATGTGGACTTCACAAGCTTCAAAATCTCCCCCTCCCTACCGCATCCCAAAACCAGCCCAGCTTGTCCCCGCCTCCCTAACCTGTCCTTCCTCCCACCTATCCCCTCCTCCCACCTCAAGCCGCACCCCCATC